ATCAGTTCTGTGGTGATGGTTAAATTGCTCATACAATTGCTATCGAAACAATCGATCGGAAACCAAACGAGCAAAATTTGATAATGATAAAGAATTTTATCAATTAAAAAGAACATTCAAAATTTCCAACGTCACAATTAAATCCATTCGGCAGAATTTTTTTGCTTTGTTTCATACGTTATCTATTGAAAGCGTCCATATTTGTGGGAAGAGGTTCGAAAGCAAAAATTAAGAATGTAACAGATTTACTAATTTGACAGAAACGAATACGTAAAGACCCAGTGATAGCAATTACTAACAATGTGAAGATATAATGGATTTAGCATATGATCAGTTGCATTATTATCGGCAAATCTATAACCGAAATGAGTAAAACAAACAAAACAATGTAAGTGAATCGAATAGGTAAATTAGACCAATAAATAAGCGATGAAAGAAGGACATCAGACAATTCGGAAGAAGGTGTAATGAGGTCTGTTGGGGCAGAGGAGGCACGAGAAGGCTAGTCAAGAAGATGAAATGGGATGCGAGTCTAAACGATGACCGACCGATCTGTGCTCAACGTACTGGTCAAACATAGCCACAAGACCGATCATTGAGCACTAACAGCTAATGATACTGTAAGAATGTGTGCTACTGAGTGCAATGCGAACATAGCCAGCCAGCAGTGCCTCAGTGAAAAGAAGATACACCTTTTCTTATCTACATCTCGTGCCTCTTTCTCCAGCATATCTTATCCATACTCATAGGTCAACAGTAACAACACTAATAACAAATTTATTGCTGTTGTTTGTCTCACCAGAACAAATTTCATTTACAAGATGAAATATCAAGAAGATGATATCAGGATTAATCGAGTATGAAAGTCTAACAATTCGGCAGAAACTAGATCAGTGGCTATCATATTGCGCGGAATTATTAAACACAGAATATTTGATATCAAATATGTGATTATAGATAGGTTTGTATTAGATTTAGTTCCCTGTCGTCTGTCCGTCCGTTCTTTATCACACGATTGCAGTCGCATCGTTGAAAGACAAGTAAGAATGTTTAATCCGTTTCAAAGCTGATCTTTAATGCAACTGCTCTTAGCATTCGATAAATCTTGGAACATATGTTAACTACAATCGCTATGATTCGTTGTCCGTCAGTGATAGTTCATCAATCACGTCATCGTCATTAAAACACTGACCTATATCAAGAATCTTGAAAATCTTACTCAAACGAACACCATAACGTTTGCTTTCAGTGTCTCGCACGATTGCATGTGCTGTATAAAAACAATTGCATGTGCTGTAATTGCATGTGCTCTATCAAAACAATGCATTGCACAACTACACGTGAACTCATCTAATCAGATAATGGCTAATCAACCAAACTGCATCGCATCATTACCAACAATTTCTACCCCAATTAACTATCAGTGAAACTTCAAAAGAAAGTAAACTTATATTTTGCTAAGCAATTCTGCTTACTTGAAGAGATACTGCTGTTTTCTTGAATCTATCTCAAATAGCGAAGTCGCGTTCATTCATCTACATTGTATCACCATAGATCAATGTATACATTACTATAGCTCTATAGGGGTTACCATCTTCAAGCTACCGGTACTCTCAGCGTTGCCCAATAACATGTGAATTTCTCTAGACAGTTTGATTCCTCAGAACATCTAGATTCTGAATATTATACATTTTGCTGAGCAATCTTGCTTACTTGAGGAGATATAGCTATTTTCTTAAATCTATCTCGAAGCTATAGGGGTTTCATATTTAAACTTACCGTACTCTCAGGTTTGCCCAGTAACATAAGAATTTCTCTACAGCGTTCGATTCTCCTCAGAACATCTAGATTCTGAATATTATACATTTTGTTGAGCAATCTTGCTTACTTGAGGAGATATAGCTATTTTCTTAAATCTATCTCAAATGGCGCAGTTGCGCTCATTCATATACGTTGTATCGCTATAGATCAGTGGTTGTCATAGGGGCTGAAATTACCCATTTTGGGTAATTTCAGCCGGAGGGGGTACCGGAGGGGGTCGGGCATCATGTTATGATAGAACGCTATTGTGATAGTGTTTTTTCACTTGGGTATGTAAATGCGATTAGTTCATGACAGCACTCTTCTTTCTCCTATTTTCTGAGTATCATTAGCTCACAAATGTCTGTTTAGTCAAAAATGTTTCGTAAGTTCTCCAATATATTGGCTGACGTCGTCTTTCATGAGCAATAAGAATTGATTGAGCTTTTTGGTAAGACAGAAAAGATAACTGGCTTGGTGTAGGGCGATTGAGTATTTCTGAATTTGATAATATCGATTTCTTTTTCCAATTTTAACAATTTTCAATTTTTGTAATGCTTATGAATGTTTTTTCAGCCGTTATAATACTTCTTCCATGATGAACGACAACATTTCATATGATGTTAATAACTGAAATACTTGAAAAGTAGAATGAAAATTTCAGACTTAATGCACCTATCGCACCTCAAAACGCTCAATAGTTCGAATTTATTTTCATCCCTCCGATGAATTTTTATTTATTCATTAACCACCACTTTGATGAAATGATTGCTTTACCGTTCATCTCGAAGATAATTCCTCAAATGTTTATTGCATCTTCCTTCTTCATGAGTAATTGAACTTGCTATCAAATTTCTTTTTTTTTGAATCGCTGAACAATGATTTTTTTTCATTGTTTTTCGTTTTTGATGGCCGAGGTTCATATTGTTTCTGCAATGGATAAATAAAGTTCTAAAAATACTTGTTTCATTCCAGAAAATTAATTTTTTTTCACGCCGCTGAGAAATTTGTGAGTTTTTGAATCAGGAGGGGGAGAAGGGGGGGGGGTGACGGCGGCGTGCCAGATCATCAAAATGGGTAATGGAACATCCGAGCGTGAGAACCACTGCTATAGATCAATGTACACATTACTATAGCTCTATATGAGTTACCTTCTTCAAGCTACCAGTACTCTCAGGTTTGCCCAATAACATGCAAATTTCTCTACACCATTCGATTCCTCAGAACCCCTAAATTCAGAATATCATAAATTTTGCCGAGCAATTTCGCTTGCTTCAGGAGATATAGCTATTTTCTTAAACGTATCTCAAATAGCGCAGTTGCGTTCATTCATATACATTGTATCACGATAGATCAATGTACAAATTACTATAACTCTATAGGGGTTACCACTTTCAAGCTACCGGTGCTCTCAGTTTTGCCCATTTCTCATAACCTCTAGATTCAGAATATCATACACTTTACTGAGCAATTTTGCTTACTTGAGGAGATATAGCTATTTTCTTAAATCTTTCTCTAAGCTATAGGGGTTCCATCTTTAAACCTACCGTACTTTCAGGTTTGCTTGGTAACATATGAATTTCTCTACACCACTCAGTTCCTCGGAAGCTCCAGATTCCAGCGTAAATTCTAATGATATTTATTCCCCTTTGGACAATTGCATCCATATGTGACCTCAGAATGGATGATGATGAAGAGATCGTTAAAAAAAAAGATGCGAATAGTGAGCAGCGGATGATGCCATATATTTGACCTTCAAATTAACTTACTACTTCTCTGTTCTATCTTTCCCGTTGTATCTTCAGAAGATGAAAGTTTCATTCCGAATTTTGATGAGCTCAGATACTG